CCGGTGTGTTTTCAATAGTGTTGTACCGGCGATCGAATTGTGCGTACCGTTCTGTCCTCCTTAGACGGCAGCGGCCTCGGTCCCCTCCGGCAGACGTCTTCGGTCGCTCGAGGAAGAGGCATACGCGGCCAGGTGTACACAGTGCCTAAGAGCCAGTCGGCCGACATAGTTATATCCCTTGAGCGCCGCGGCGGCCGCGACTCTCTCGCATTTACCATCACGGCGCGTCGTGTGATTTAGTCTGTGCTTAAAAGCCGTGCGCGTGCGATAAACAAAAGTAATCGGTCTCTGCCTTTCTCGTGGTCATCCTCGTCGCTGTCGTCGTCGTCGTCGTCGTCGTCGTCGTCGTTGTCGTCGTCTTCTTCCTCCTCCTGCTCTACGGCGCCAGCCGCACCACCGAGCGCGAGATCACAGCTTGGCCCACGTTTGTGTGTACCGTTTCAGCATTGTGCGCTAACGGCCATTCTCGAGAGCGCGCGCGCTCATCGCGGTGATCCCGTGAGAAAGGTGCCCGTGGAATTCGCCTTCGCGCGCGGCGCAACAGTGCGGGATAAAGCGTCGCCGAATTGCAGCGTGCAATATTCGCGACAACGGCAGATCGCTGATTCGCGCGATTCCTACAAAATTCGACGTCGAGAGAGATATATATATATATATATATATCTATATATATATATATATATATATACATATATACATAGATATACATATAAACACGCGCGCGCGCGCGCGCACACGACATATACATCAAGGCCGCCCGCGCTCTTTCGCTCGACCCTGTTTGGCTGCTGCGCGCACAGGTATGTTTGCCCCCGGTATTCCGGGGGGAGGGGGTGGGGTTGAAAGGTTTCCGCCCGACACAGTGTGCATCGATGTAATTATTTTAACGTGCTGCCGCCGTCGTCGCCGCTGCCGCTACGTAGGCGTAGTACGGAATGCGTGTGCCGCGGCGAACTCGAAATCGACGTTTGTATTTTCGGCCGGGACCGAAATCGGCCGGCAGAGTTCGCGCAGATTGCCGTGTGTGGATCCTCGATTCCTACCATGAGGTCATTGTGGTGCGCGAAAGTATCCGGCGATTTAAATTCCCGCATATGCGCATCGCCGCGCCGTGTGTTTGTTATTTATTGCGCGGTATACTCGCGCGCGCGCGCGCGCGCGCGCACGCCGCGCAGCCGGTGTAACGGAAATATGAGCGATTCACAATTTATTGCCGCCGTTCATCCTGCGTTTTTAATATTTTAATCGTTCCGCGAAATTTATCGCGATATCGCTGAAATGCAGCGAGGATGTGCTCATAATGGTGCTGTTATGTGCGAGTTAACGGACCGCAGATCGTCGCTCGTTCTCTCCGTCTCGACGGAGCGCCAGCTGATCGCGCTCGTATTAATCCGACTGTGACGAAAAGAACGGAAGGGAGAGAAAAGGAATTCGGCGAATCTCTACCCGCGAGATCGTTGAGAGCGAAGAGCGCGGCCTACCGCCCGCGTCGCCCTCACCGCGGGATTCAGAAGCGGTGCAGAAGCGACCTTGTCGCGAGGACATCCCTGCTCGCAGCGGCTCGCGCGATATTAATGTGTGGACGAATCCTGTTTTCCAATACGCTATTGCCCGTTCCCGTTTCTCAGCAGGAGCAGCGCGACACTTGATCAACGGCGATACATTCCATCCCGTTAATCCCGACTTCCGTTAATTCCTCCTTATCCAGTTCGTCGGAGAGCGCTGAAACTCCTCGTTCACGAGGAAAATAGTCCGACGACGAAGAAAAACGGCCGAGGAAAGCGCGTTAAAATCAACGGACGTTTCAGATCTGCGCGTATAATCGCGCGTCTTACATTGCACTTAACTCTCGAAAAGAAAAAAGCCGTTATCGTTAGCCGCTATCGTTCAGGCGTGTCGCTCCACCGCTACATTCGTTCATTTCTCTCTCCGCCCACTCTTCCGTCCTCTCTCCTCAATTTCATCTCGGCGATATCACAGACGCGGAGAGTAATTAAGTATCGGAGCAAAATTGTCTCGCGAGAGACGCGCGCGATTCCAAAACAGTTCTAAAAAGAGGAGGCGATGATTCGCCGGATTCCAGACCGCATTCCCGAGATCATCGACGGAAAGGAAGGGAGACAGAGAGCGTTGGTTTGCCGTAACGACGAAATTTTCCCGTTTTCTTTCACCAGTTACTTTTTTCTTACTCAATAGGACTCTCCCGCGGAAGGTCTCGCGCGGAGACGGTCCCTCGAATTACCTCCGCGCTTATCAGGAAACATCGCTCGCGTTCAGCGGAAGAAGCTGCTTTATAATTGTTTTAGAATTCATGAATCCAAAACTGGTGTCCATGCTCTTAAATGTAGCCGAATCCAAGAGCACGGCACCGCATTTGACAACAGTCGCAAAGCAGCCTTCCCTGCTGAGAACGTAGCCATTCTGCTATTCGAGCGAACGCCGAGAGCGCTCCGACACACCCCCCGTTGTAACGCCGTTTCCTTTTTTTCTTCTGTTGCAGATCACAGCCGCGTCCGCGAGCGTTTCGAGTGCGACCTGAACGTGCGATCGAGACAGTGCTACGATGACGAGACCGTACGACCGTCGACAACTGCTCGCGATACTCCTGCTGCTGCAAACCGCCTCGAGGTACGGCTCCGCGGTTCACGCGGTTTCCGCGGAATCGACGCACGCGGTCGACCTGTCGCCGTCGTCCGCGGTACCGTCCGGCCTCTCCGGGCCGGACTACACCGGCCCGTCCGCGGGTTCGGACGAGTGCGATCCCGAGATGGTTGGCTTCGAGCTGGTAACCGGCTACGTGTTCACCGCGCCCACGAACATGCTCGAGTCCATACCGGGCACGTTGATGCTCACCGACTGCCTGGAGACCTGTCAGGCAAACGACTCCTGCCAGGCGGTCAACTACGAGACGGGCCTTTGCGTCCTATTCAGCTCTAACGCCGACAGCAATCCAGGTAAGATTGAATCGTTATCGTATCTACCTAAAGACTGCAGCGAGAGGAGGAGCAGCGACTATGTATACGAGAGCGGGATGCGCGCGTATTCTTCCCCGGGCTACCCCACGTCCGGATACTTGCTCTCGGTTGCGCTTGCGTTTCCTTTCTGCTTTTTTCTATTTCCTTCCTCATTTTTCCGGCTTGTCCGCGAGAGGAAAACGTCGACGCGCCGTGAGCCCCTTGATCGCCTTATTACGCGGATGTTAATTAAGAATAGTCTTGCGATCACGACATGCAATAGTCTTGCATCTCACGACGGCAAGGAGGGAACGCGCGCGGTCTCTCCTCCCCGCGTCGAGGAAACGTTTCTTCCCCCTCGAACATTTATTTCACGTCGTTACGGCGATCGTAAAAGTCGGCGTTGCCCGAACTCTGCACGACACACTTTCCGCGGTGGAACATTGAAATTGGAATTTATTCCGCGTCGAGGCATCGGCGGTATCGGCGGAGGAATCTGAATAACAGCGAGCACAGCGGGGCTCTTAATAAATCCACTTTTTTCCACAAGGAAGCGCGAGGACAAATTGCGATAACAGCGTCAAAAATGCGAGGGCGCGCCCGCCAAGAAATTTGTCGCGACGTGCACTCCGCAAGTCGATAGACGTTACTCTCATGGATATAACGCAAGCTCCTGCCTCTGCTAGCAAAAAGAGCTAATACGGCCGCAGTACTCGGCAGTCTACTCTCGTCTAGGGGATAAGAGGTAAAGGGGATAAGAAGCGAGAGGATCTCGATCTATTATCATTAGAATTAGTTTTCCACACGTATACGTGTGCCGGACGAGAGCGAGAGCCTCGAGGTCGCTCCGCACCGCATCGCTCCTTGTTGTTGTTTTGCAGAATTACGGGATCACCGAAGTGCGTTAAAATCGTTTCGCACATCAGTCTGAACGTGAACATTTTGCGTAATGTAAGGATCGCTTTGGGCGAAGCGCAATAATTTTCTGCACAATGCCCGCGGTACCAATTGCCTTGATCCACCCCGGATGAAAATAACGCGAAACAAAACGCGTGCGAAGTACACACACACGATGTCGCCCGGTGCACTCCGTGCACCGGTGAGAACCGGGTCGGCGGGCTTATCGCACGTTACTACCGTAGGAGGCGAGTCATTTTTCTTCCGTTTTCTGTTTCGTTAATTAATACATTAGTAATGGAGAGACATTAAGGACGCGCGATGTAGTTTCGCGAGTCGATCGAAGATTCCGCAATGTGCGCTGATTGTATTTCGGCTCGGCGATGTAATTGAGTGTTCGAGTCGCGCGTGCCGTGTTGTTTTCGCGTTCGCAGCTGAAAGCTTCAGTGGCCGCGCTATTAAGCCGCTCAAAACACACCTGAGGGAGCGTTAATGCGCGTGTGTAATGCGACGTGGGAAAGATATATATTTAGTTTACTGCGCGGGAAATAAATTGAATGCGACAAACGGTAAAATAATACCAACGCGCCCAGTTGACGAGTGCTGTCTCTTTTTTGTTTTGATTTTCGTGTGTATTTCTCTTTCCGGCACGATAAAAGGATCAGCCCGAATCACCATGCCCATCACCGTACCACGCAATCGCGGTAACTTTTCGGTTAACGAAAGTTTAACCGACGCGTAATTTAAACGAGATTCCTCGAGCCGCAGCGCAAATCAATATCGCGCAAAAACGTTGAGAATTCCGTGCCGAAGCATGCAATAATCATTTCCATCGCGCGCAACAATTTGTCACGGTTATTATCCTTCGCAGCAACGTTTCAGTTTTCAATTTTTCCAAAAATGTGCCGGACATTCTCTTCAGAGTCATTTGTTACGTTGGTATTTATCCGCGCGCGCGCTCTTTATGTACTTTATGTACAGGGATTATCTTTTCTCCGCGAAATATTCCCAGATAAATATATGAAATTATTAAAATACGTCACAATAAATAAATACGACTTTGCGAGAGATATTAAAATGTGCAATTTTAATACACCCAAGCGAAATGCCGCAAATAAATTTGCACGTTGCGTACCGTTGCGGGGCGATATCGCGGTTCCTTTCGCGAGTAACGCGAACGATCGTTTGTGCCCCACTGGCAAATATCCCCGGAATTGCACACGCTCCTTCGCTCCCGCCTCTCGGATCTTATTTAAATTTTTGCAGAGTGCGAAACAGCTTTCGCACTTTCACGGCACGATTGATTTTTCTAGCGTGAGAGGCCGCAGCCGCGGAGTCACATATTGGATGTCGCCTGAGATACATTCTTCCTCGAGTATTTCTTGACCCATTATTTCCCCGTCACTGTGTTGAATGCCTTCGCGACGCGTACGCGACGAATACACGTTTGCCAACCGGGCCGAACGGGCGAAACGCGCACTCTAAAGTCCCGACGCGTATGGAACCGCGTATACGCACATGGCGATCAATTTGTCGTCGTTTCATCTCGTGCGATCTTAACGTCGAGAAACGTGCGCCCGAAAACACGCGAAAGCAACGCAAGTTCGGGAACGGTGCTTTTCGAGGAAATTGACGTTCTTCTTCCCAGCGCAGAGAGAGAGAGAGAGAGAGAGAGAGAGAGACGCACAGCGACCTTTATTTCCTCCGCAATAAGTGGTAACGACCGAGCGCGTCATATAATTTAGGAAGAAATGGAAGCTATTGCAATTTTCGACCGGTCTGAAATTGGAGGGCGGGTTTAATCTTCCGGTCTCTGGACGCGAACGCGAAAGAGAGAAACGTGATAGGTTTAAATATACATTCCTTTGTACATCATATCAAAATAAATTTCTCGTTTCCATAAACGTATTCCGCGCGCTTTGCATATAGAAGACCGATATATACGCTATGTACGTCTATATATTTGGTTCCAACGATGAATTATAAGGATCACGTGCATTGTCAGAGGGTGCTACCGCGGTGGTTCCTCATGAATAATGGATACCGGTATAAGTAAGTGTAATGAGAAACGCACTAATTGAATCTTCCGGGGTATAATTAATATAAACTATACGTCCGTATATACCGAAGGAGAGAAAAGGAGGGCAAGGGAAGTAGATAGATGGCGAGAGAGGATGGGAGAGAGATAGATGGATAGATAGATAGAGAGAGAGAGATAGAGAGAGAGAGAGAGAGAGAGAGAGAGAGAGGGAGAGGGAGGGAGAGAGAAAGAGAGAGACGTTGGACTTGTGGGCATTAATTAAACAGCGGAACGAGATCTTATAGCAATGAAGGGGCGCGGTATTGCCCCCGCGATATTTTTCGTGAGCGGATTCCTCGAGGATAACACGTAGCGAATAAGTTGCTCGCGGAATGGAAGAAAATACGAGGAACGTATATAAAGTTGCCATCGCGTGACCTGGCTGACCCTAGCTCGATTTAACGTTCCGACGGATTCGCATGTTGATCGTGTGTGCGCGCGTCCGGAAAAAAGTCACCGATGATCGATACCGGCTGACTCAACGACTAATTGGACGCGAGCTCGATACCGCGATACAGCTACACTTTTCACAATTTGCACGCACGATATCCCTTTTTCTCGGCGGGACGGTCACGTGTCGCTCGCAATTGTACACGGCCGTTCTTGCCACGGGGGGATTAAACAAGACGACATGTAATTCGATCGATCGCACGCGATCGATTAAATTCGACGGATCACATTCTAACACGCTTGCTCACCGCGCTGGATGTACCGTTTCTAAGACTCTTTGGCCGCGATCGGCTGTGGAAACTCTTTACGCGGCGCGTAAAAAGCGGCGATCCAATCGACCAACCGTGCGCTCCGATTCGCTCCGTGCCGGTTTTTACAGACGCGAGAAGGGAACCAACTATATGACCGGAACAAATTCGGCTGAAAGGCGACGCCGCGTCCCAATTGTGCGGATCCACGCGGCGCCCGGGGCGTCGTAATTCGCGCTGCGAGCAGCTGGTGTATGTACGGAATAAAAAGTGAACCTCTCTCTCTCTCTCTCTCTCTCTCTCTCTCTCTCTCTCTCTCTCTCTCTCTCTCTCCATCTCTCTCTCTCTCTCTCCATCTCTCTCTCTCTCTCTCTCTCTCTCTCTCTCTCTCTCTCTCCATCTCTCTCGTCCTCTCGCTTCCGTGCGCGCTCACGATCGCGTAATCTCGCGCGAGATTTCTTTATACTCGGTGGTCGTAGTGGATAATTGCGCCGAAAGGCATTGCCGCGCCGGAGAAGACGGCAATCGGGCCGTTAGCCCGACGATACGTCGCTTTGCGCTCGCGTCTCGTCCTTTGTGCCGCGTCTCGTGAGCGGCGCGAGTAGTGCGCGCGATAATAATCTAACGATGCGGCGCGAGATACGCATAAAGAGGAGCGTTAAAGTACGGAGCTAAGGAACGGAGAAAGTAAGCAAGTAAATTAAGGCATTCGAGGCAGATATGCAAAAGATCCCTCGAGCGCTTTGCACATACACACACACACACACACACACACACACACACACACACACGCGCACGCACACGCACACACCGGAGATTATTTACGGCGAATTTCTACGGCGAAGGAAAACCAAGCCCTGCCGTGCCGTTGCGCGCACGCGAACATGCCTGCGCGTGACAGGTTGACGTCTACAAAGTACTCTTTTCGCCGCTTTCTTAAGCCGCTCTCTCATCTGGCAGCCGAGAGCGCTCCTCGTTCGCGTTCACTGCGAAAGATCCAATGTTAATCGCGACATTTCGGGGATCCACGAAATGGGAAGAGACGAGACTGCCACACGCGCGTTAGTAGCTGGCGCAACGGCACGGCGGCTCGGACGGGACGACTTGTACCGCTCGAAGAAGCTACGGCAGAACGGGCAAAGAGCGCGGGCAGGGGAGCGGGGAGGAAGAGAAGGTTAATTCGATCGACTGCAAATCGGTCAGTCGTGGACGTTGAAGAGCGGCGCGCAGATCTCGGTCACGCTTTGATGGTCCCTTGACACGAGTTTCCTTTCGGCACGACCGCTCGGAATGGATCGGCCCGATCTTCGGCGTCGCCACTTGTC